TATTGCCCGTTTTGGTTAAACTAATTATCACACAGTCTAACTTCACTTTCACTAACTTAACATTTTTTTCTGAGTTCTTTAGAAATCACCCGTCATGGCTAAACTGACAATCACTCAGTCTTGATCTGTCTAATTATCTCTCAATTAACTTGCTTTCTTCTTACTGTATCTGCATGTATTTATAACATGCAACAGAAAAATCTAGAATTATCTAGCCCACTAGTAGCAACAATATCAAACATCATGAGAAAAACCTGGAAACTTCGAGTAAGATGATGTCAAAAATATTACAAAAGCCTAGTACAACAATTCAACTACACACACAAAACATACAACTCTTATCGCTTTTAAAATAATTACTTTTAACACTTTTGTTATGAAATCTAAACAATAATTAAATAATACATCACAAAATAATCTAAATAACTTTTAAACTGAACAGTCTTGTATATACAACAATTCAAACTCTCACTGTAAACATTCTTAAGAGATGGAAGAACTTTTGTGTCATGAATCACTAGTAATAAGTTAAATAAGAACAACATAGTGACACAAAATAGCCTTATCCCCATCTCACATATAGGTCACATGACAGGTGACCTATATAAAATAGGGTAACTATTATCCTGAGAGGGTAAAAATACTATCCTAAAGGAACAGTATTTTCTAACCGTAGGTTTGTGAATAAGAGAATAAATAATTAAATACAGATATAGCTATAGATAAACTAAGTAGTATTCAAGTATATTTATATATATATATATATAGATAAAGAGAGAGCTTAGAAATGGCTACCAAAGGTGAAACTATTAACCCTTTTGAGATAGTCATATCATCTCGTTTGTTGACATGCATTGAAAACTTTATTGAACTACTATTTCATGAATTTATGTCAATAAGTTTGGTATCAAACTGTAGATTATAATTCAAATTTTAGAACTATTCATTACTTAATTTGTTAATTTAAAATTAAATATTAAAAACACAGATAAACATGGATTTTTCTATGTCACGTGGTATGTTGAATGCAACACTGGCTCAAATTAGATGTTTGTGAAATCAAAATACTAAGTCTATAGTTTTGTACAAATTAGAAACTCAAATTACCAATATTGACAAGCTAGAATATAAAATAAGAGCCTCTTATCTTTTCAATTTGCTAAAATATTGCACATTTAATAAATCAAACACAGTGGCACCCTGCTCACCTCTTTCCATTTTTGGAAACGTTCTCTTATACACACTTACTTATATATACGACATAAATAACCAATTAGAAGCTCTAAATGTCCCCCTAGTGGCTTTCCCGGCCATTTTAATAGGCTTGGCACCATTTATTTCTTTTGAAACAATATTTCAACGAGGTAGGGTGTGTCTTTTGTATGCTCGTAATTTCATATTTTTTTTAGACTAAAATACATCTTAGTTACTAAGCTTGATAAATTATAGTGGAATTCTGTGATGTCGATATAGTAATTTATGATTTTTTGGTTATTCAACTATATATATAAAAAACCTAGAAAAAACATTTCTCCATATCCTCCACGTGCAAGTTTTTTAAAGGCTTAGCAACTTACGTCAAGCAGCAACTGAGTACAAAGGTCATAACTAGAAGAGATAATTGTTTGCTTTACTTTTTTAGTTACCCTTCTATGTTTTTAAAAAAAATAAGTTTAAGAACTTATTTCAAAATAGCAATAATCTATATACATATATAATATATGATAATTGAAATGTGACTGTATTTTACAAAATACTAGTCTACTAAAACAATACCAAGACAAGTTACTTTGTACAAACCAAAGGTCAGCTTTATGTTATTTGATACAGTAAAATGAGTGCACGTGCGCTGTGTCAATGTAATTTCTATATTGTTGGTCAGGCACGGCTAAAAGATCAATATAATAAAAAAATTAAATATATATAAATGTATAATGTTATGAGACCTAAGCTATTTCATCTAAACATTTATGTTTTCAAGTTATAATTTGTGATCATTCTAGAATGAAAGGGGCATAATTTATGTTTATTTTCAAATTTTTTTATGGTGGTTGTGAGATCGGTCAAATTTACTGAACCCATACAGAGATTAATTACTGAAAATAACAGATAAAATATAAAGTTGTTTCTTAAAAAATGTTTGATAACTATTTGGACATCATAAAGATTTCACATGTGAAATTTTGAAATTTTCTGATGCACAAAAGTATTTTTAATGCTAAGATGAAAATTGGTTTGCATGATAGACAGGCAAGATGTGAAAAGAAAAAAAAGTCATGAGAGAAACATTGCTTTACAAACCTTAAGACTTAATAAAAAAATTATATATTTTGCATATGAAAGCATTGTAATGTTTACTGATAAACTGTCAAATGTCGTTAACATTCGCTTAATGATTTAAAAGTTATAGCATGAAAACTATAACAAGCTCAAAATGTTACGAGATTGGTCCCATGGACCGAGCCTGGGTTGAAAGAGTTAATTAAAATTTTTTGATAATTATGATTTTATCTTATAATGTTTTGAACTCATTATGGAATGAATATGAATAAAGCTAAAAGGTCTGTTCAAGTGACATAGTATTATTGTGTTAACAAGTGATAACAATGTTTAACATGAACTGCAATAATCTTTCAAAATAAACTTTAGTGGAAATTATTTTTCTGTACTTGTATAAGTTTATCCAGTGTTTTGACAAAAGATACATCATCAAATAGACTTACCATCCATGCTTCGTGATGAAAACCGTTTGTTGCTTAGAGTTCTTTCAAAGTGAGGAGGAGGTCGATCAATCATGGTGCTTGCTTTTCGAGTTTGATATTGTGTTCTTCCTGAATAGCGAAACTTGGACCCAAAACGAGGCACAAACAAACTCTGTTTAGGTGGTGCCTCTGGATGCATCAACCTGTTAACAGTAACAACAGAAGAGTAACTTAAAACATGTTTAAAATAATTTGAGGAAAAATGTACAGACTAATGTATTTTTTACATTAATATCATATGAAAAAAGAAGATAAATCATACCACATTTCTAATTTATTTTATGCTTGCTCATTTTAATTTGCGTACATGATTATGACTTAACCCTATCTGTCCAGGCATCATTTATGAGGTTTTAGTGACTTACATTTAAAATATAATTAAAGAACTTTTTGCTTATATTATACCAGTTAGTATATCGTAAAATTGTAGCTAATAATCCATAGTATTTAATAGTATATAAAGTTTAAGTTCTTAATTTTATAAATCAATATATAAAAAAATTCTGAATTTCCCCTAGTGTGAGAAATGTGACAAAGTTTCTCTAGGAATCCCCTCTTCTCTATTATATTCAACACTCCTCCAATAAGTATGAAATTTAATGTAAATTACTCATTGTAAAATTGTCATCGATTACACAAATCATAATTTTTATAGCCTTCAATCTTGTTTGGTTACAGAGCCATCAAATAGAAAATCAGACACCTCTTGCTATACCCACCTGTCACATCCTCTCTTTCAGGATTTGTTAATAGTTCTCTCTTACTCTTAATACTATATTATGTAGAGCCAATAAAAAGCCAAGGTTTTCATATCAAATGATGTATTATATTCCATTGTTCTCTGAACAGAGAATTGTCATTTTCTCAGTTAGTACAAACTTCGTTCCCACGGATGAATTTGTAACAGTTCTTGTCATATAGTGAGAAAGCCAGAAAAATTGTGATAGTTAGGGGAAATTGTCTGCTTTTTGCATGTTATTATTCTATGCTCTTTAGTGATTATTTAATTAAATAAAAATTATTTAGCGCATTAGTAAAAATAGGGAAGTTATTTAAGGTTAGATTAGGTAAAATGAATAATAATATTAATAGAATAGAAATGTTTCACGAGGCACGCACACGAGCAGCTCGGAGTAGCTTGTGGGTAATGTAATGTGAGCTCCACATTCCCCAATTGACTTACAACTTATAATTGCATGAATAGTATTAGTTAGACTTGGTTCAAGGGCAATAAAACAATAAAATTTAAATATAAATAGATGTATACTGTTACAATTTTAAAGCTACTTAGGATAAGCCATTTGAAGCCATTCTAGAAAGAAAAAAAGAATAATTTAGATTTATTTTAATTTTGTTTTGGGTGGTTATGAGGTCTGTCAAATTGACCGACCATGTACAGAGTGAGGGTAGAGAAAATAACAGATAAAATATATACTTTTACTGAAAACAGACATTTGAAATGTATTTAGGAGTTTTTACATAAATGTAATTTAAGATTTTTTCAGATGAAGAAATGCATTTTTAATCTGAAGATGAAAATCACTTTGTACACAGACTAGTAAAAAAGATACTCGATATATTTACACACACATTTTTTTTAGTTTATTAAAAATACTTCACTAAAAAATGATTTTTTTGTATGTGAAAGACAGTGTTTACTGAAAGTCTGTCAAATTTTGTGAAAATATACGCACTACTTTAAAAGTTAGTAGTATCAAAACCATTATGACTTTAAATGAGTAAAAAGAGGTCCTGTGTTGAGAGAGTTAATGCACCTAAAAGCAAACTATAATAACTGATACAAGATCAATTAAAAAATATTAAAAAAATTACATAGCAAAAATATTAAATCAGAAAAAAAACAGTTAAATATTTAGCTATATAACTGGAATAATATGGTGGTATTAGAAATAAAATCTTAGCTAAAATTTAGTGAAACTTGTAAACTAAATATTTCTCTAAAAGTAAAAAAAAAACTGTAGTGTGTACTTTTTTCTAATTCTAGAGGTGTTTTGTAAACAGCATGGAAACTATCTCTACCTGAAAAATGTGTGATGTTCTACACAGACTTTCCACAGTCTTTTAGCTGCTCTGTGATTGGCTAATTTGAACCCAATTGTACTTTCAAACTGCTCAAACTAAAAAAAAAAGTTAAAACGATTGGCAACCATTAACTGTCTTAAATTATAATATGGTCTTTTTCCTTGAAAAGCATACACATTATATTCTAAACAAAAATAGTTTAAATTACATTTCTAGAAAATTTCCCAATGAATATACATTAGAAGCAGTTCAACCATGAATACCATATGTATGGAAGGGAATCTGCTTATCAAAAGACATGGCACAGCTTAATCAAAACAATTTAGCAATGAATTTGTTGCTACAGAAAACTATAAATCAAAGAAGTGACTAAAGATAAAAGTTAAAATATAAACTACAAGCATATTAAACAATGCTCTAATAAGATAAACTGGTCTAGTCACATAATCCATAAATCATACAAATGATATTACTAAATTATAACACAATAAATAAAACTGTAAACCAGACTGGATATTAAAAATCTAGAATATTCACAAAAGGTTACTAAGCAATATATTAAATTCAATATAACACTGATGTTTATGATAATTAATAGTTTTCTTAATAAACACTGAAGATAAGTCAACAGTACAAAACGAAAATGCATCAAGCCTATGTTAAAAAACATTTCATGTAAATAAAACTGCTGGATGACTGACAGTAAGTACAAACACCAATGACAAAAAATAAACTTTAAATTTAGAATCTCTTAAAACTGTTATATAAAAATTTACTATTAAAAATTTAGTATTTAAATATCTATGAAACTGTGAACTTAAAAGCCTAAAACAGGCAAAATTACATCTCTTCCAATGATAATAGAAAAGTTCTACACTGGAGCACTCATTTCAAAACCCAATTTTAATCCTTTATCAAATCATCAAAACTTCAAATTTAAAACAACCATGATATTTTGTCAACTGACATATAAATGTTTAACAGTAAAATACATCAAGTATATTCTCAGTCTTTATTCAGATAAATATTTTAAATGGTCACTTTTACATATAGTTTTTTCTTCTTCTATTTGTAACATTAACTCCCAAGTTTACCTCTCCAGGTCGAATTTTGATGTAAAAATTATTTCTTTTGTAAGAAATCTTAAGAATTTTGGGCCAAGCAAATCGGTTGATTCTTAGCCGATCTCTGTACACCAGAAGACCAGAACTACAGACACCAAGCATTATGTCTACACCTTCAGAATCCTTGGCTTGGTGAAGATCAACACCATACATAGCTAGCTTCTTAGCATTTTCCAAGTAATGAAGTTCTGCTTCAGCTGGAGTTTGACCTCTGTAACATGTTTTAAAAAAACAAATAAACTACAATTATGCCAATCCATAGTATACTTTCTATAACAGTTCAAACACATTTTATCTGTGTTAAAATATCTGCAATTATTTTTCCCAAAATACAGTACAATTTTGAAATATGGTGTAAAATTTTCAGAATAGTAAACAAATTATTACTAAACCTTTCCAAAAGCAAGAAAAATACCATAAGTTTGCATAATTTAAATATATGTAATTATTATAAACTAAACTTAATGCACAGCTTCATCAAAAAGTATTGCAGTTTTTTCTTTTATTACCCAATATCTTTAATTCTATATTAACAAAAACTACTGAAAGATTAGCGACTTAAAAGTAAGTTTTTACATCAAAATATTATTTAAAATGGGTTCCTACTTGTGTTGTCTGTGAAGTTCAATGACCTTTTCCTCCAACTCTGGAGTCTGACTTGGAGCAAATCGAAACTCAGAAAGATAGTCCATTCCATGTTCTACTGGATCATAATCTCCAAGTTCAGACTGAACCAAATAGGACCCTAAAAGGGCATGAGTCACAAAGGAGCATGGTAATCTGTTAAAAAGAATGATAGGCGAGTTAAACAAAACAGCAAAAATTTTTTTGAGAGGTATTTCATGCGGTGGTGATAGATCTGACAAAAAATCAACTGCATACTGCAATAGCCTGGAGTTGTGAGTTGGAGGGTACTGATCTTTGATATTGACAAAGGCCTCAGCCAAGAAATCGAAACACTTGTGTATTTCTAAACTCGTTAGATAATATCCATATAAGGTTGGATGATAAAGCAGGAAAAGGTTTCTGTGCAAAAGATCAGCTGTAGCTTGTTGAGACTGAATATAAAATTAATTGCAGTCATGAGGTTGAATCTACGTGTGTTACAATCAGAGGTTTCAAGGGTAGAAAACATTTAAGTTGGTAACTGTTATAGGCTACCTGATAACAAAGATCACAACAGGGTTGTTATGAAAAAAAATACTGATGCAATAATACTAACAAACTAATTATAAACACAAATTGCGACAGTAAGTAGTCCAATATTGAAGAACAGATGTTTCTTGAAGTAATTCAAGATGGGTTTCTACAACAAATGGTCAGGAAACTAAACCAGAGGAGGCGCTATTGTGGATTTCATCACTTATGAATGTTTTGGTGCAATAGTTGAAATGTGAAGAATATTTGCGGAAGTGTTTATTGCACAAACATGTTTGATATTTTGCTACATTTCGAGTTCAAGAAAATGTTATTTCCCAATAATCAGAAATCCAATTTTCAGCCACAAGACAAGACTCATCATTAGTCAATTGGGATGATGAGTTAATAGTGTTTTTAATCCTATCTGGACTCTAAAGCACCTTTCAGGTGGTGGGTGCACACCTGCATATCAAATTTAAAGATTTAAGCACAAGGAAAAGGGCAAACAAATGGAAGCAGGATCTCATCCATGTAAGGTCTTGCTGTCAGGGGACCACCATCCATCAAATAGAGGTATGTATGCCTCTGCATGCAGATTCCACCTCAGACCATGATTAAGCCACCCCCAAAGTCATTATGGTGGACATGTTACAGGCCAAATATTGCTCTCCTTCATGTTTTCAGATCCTCACATGTCAATCATTCTAAGATACATAGAACCTAGTCTCATCTCTAGGTATCCATTGCTGAGGGGGTCCAGGTGACATTTTCGTGGTTGAATGTCATTAGGGGGGGTTTGGCACCTTAGGGCTTTTACAGGGGCTTTAACTGGAATCCTGGACTTCAGCTCAGCCTCATGGAGCCTGTTTCTGACTGTTGAGCACAATACACGCACTCCAATGGCTTGCTGTTGCTCATTCCTGAGGCCCCTAGTGCTACTAAATTTTGCAGATATCAACAGTCTACTGCATCTGTATACCTGGCCTCATTTTCTGGTGTATCCTCCTGTGTCCTGGTATCTGCACCATAATTTAATGACCACTGTGATACCCCGTGACCTGTTCCACCTTAGTCTTGGTGCAGCCTTCCTATAGCAGTATGATGGATCTGCAAACTTCAGTTTCAATCAATTGATTTCTAACAGCTTGTACATACTTTGCAAAAGTCAATACCAGCAAATAAATGCATAAAACTAGCATTATCTCAACAATGAGCATGTTTCCAAATCAACCAAAATTAGCCTTTTTCTTTGCAGAATTTGGGTATTTTCTCATAAAAGTCTACAATATAAGGAATCACTGGTGCATAAACTTGAAAACCCTAATTTGGATTGGTGTAATTCTCTAAAATAAGCATGCTAAATTTGAAAAAATTAATAACCTAAAAATAAACAAATTTCAAGAAACCTCTTTATCCTTTAATTTTTGTGAGTTGTGTATGATCATACAGCATATGAAGTTCAGCTTTGAAATTGGCAACAAGCAAGATTAACTCTCTCAACCCATAATTTTTGCGTATTGTGCCATAATTATTTTCATGATTTCCTAATAAATATCACCATACTTTATCAATCTTTAATTTCCTTAATTTTGTGGATAATAACATGGCTTGAGTTAGCTTTCAGCCAAAAAAAAAAAAAGACAAATTTTATTGGACACTGTCACCATCCGATGGGTAAATCTGAATTTTCGGCCAGATGTCGGCAGTGTCTGTTCTGATTTCAGGAGATAAGTGCCAATGGAAAAGGCAGATTATTATCTATTTAGTCAATGTACAGTGAATAAAATAGTGTTAGAAGTAATTATGATTTCATGATAGAATGACAAGGCATAGTTCCCTAATTGAAGAAAAACAATCTAATAGGACAACTAGAAAAATTAGGAACAAACCATAAAAAGACAGGATATTTTTAAATTTCTTTAGAAGTTATTTTCATTCCTGAGAATCTTTTTGTGTTAAATTATACTTGTTTAAAAGTTACAAAATTTTTCTGACAATACATCAGGTGGCTTAATAACATATAGTAGGTAAGGTAGGTGAATGCAAAATACTCTGTTGACTCAAATCCTCATTTATTGCATATTATTACTACCATATTCAAATAATGCAAATAAATAACAAGTTATTCATTGAAAATAAACTATATTTATTATATATAGATTAATATCAACCATGAATATTGCCAGCAGAAATACTATTTCCTACTGATACAATTAAGAAAGGTCAAAACATGCATTACTGATAAATCTTTGTCAGTTTTATCATGTTTATGATTTATAGCCAAAAGTGTCATCTAGAGCAATCAGGAAAATAAAATGTCAAAGAAACATGTTAGTGAATATCAATTAAACTGAAAGGGTATATACAAAATGAACAAAAACAAAATATTGAAATTCTAGAATTAATGTATTTAAAAAATTTCAAAACAGTGTCTTACAACAAAACCTTTGAAATATTACGATACAAAAATGACAGAAAAACTAAATGAAATTACATGAATTATATTTTTCAATTCTAGGTAAGAATAATAAATTTATTCTATGCTTCATGCAATTTGATTTAAGTACTTCCACTGTAAGGAAGAAAATTCCAGGGACATCAGTGACACCCCCTCCAATCCAGAAAGGGTTATTTCACGATAGGAATTTTCCTAAAAAAAGGGAGGAAATATCAAACCTAATAGGATTACTATGGGCATAAAAAGGAAAAAAAATTTGTACATACATACATAGGATTAAAGATTTATAGAACTATATGAAATCTAGAAATTTGGTTAAAATATAAATTAATAAAACATAAAGGGTCTATGTGAAACAGTTGGCTAATAATATTAAAATTAATAGTAAGGATTATTTCATGTATGCTACATGTAAGCAAAATTTTAAAATAGTGATTGGGCCTAAAGGATGATGATAGTGAGGATTTTGTTAGATACAACAAGATGGATTAGCTTTTAAATATTTTCTTCTCATTTGTTTTTACAAGAGGGGATACTACTGATGTTTCTGACCTTGAACATTCTATGGAAATGACCTGAATTACACAGATATTGATCCACTAATGAAAAGTATAAAAAATAAGGGATTAAGTATATATAATGAACCAGACAATAATTTTCCATCAGTTCCAAATGAGGTCAAACATCAGATACAAACCTTCTTTTTGAGTAAATAAGGTGATTGAAGATTGGAGAGTTGTTACTTTTATTCTTATTTTTTAAAGGAGGTTTATCAATGCCCCTGGAAATAATGTGACAGTTAAGTCTTACTTTTGTAGCAGGAAAATTTCTAGACAGTCTGACAAAAGAAAGTTTATAAAATCATTTAGTGAAATACAACATCATAGCACAGAACCAACAAGGATTTACTAAAGAGAAATTTCACTTTGCTAAACTGTTTTTTAATGTAATTAACTTAATACATTCAATATCTTAACCTTTTTAAAATTCACTTTGTGTTGTTTTTCAATCATATGTTCATTTATATTTGACTTTTCATTTCCTACCTGTTTCTAATATATAGAATATATATATATTTTGCAGTCTAAACATTCTATTTTATAAAGTGCACCTTTGCCATATTTTTCATTTTTATACAACTTAAGTAGAAACTGTTCAGTTTTGATTTAGTTAAGATTTTAATTTCTACCATAAGCTAATTGATTTTTTTCACTAACAACTCCTACAAATAGTATTAATCCATAACTACATTATTTTCTTAAGTATTTTGATCAGTTCTCTTGTTCTTGTCTATTTTATTTGGTTTGTCATTTTCTTGATTATGTCATAAGTTTGTGGGGGCATAATTTTTTTGTTTTGAAGTATTCTCTTATCTTTTGAACTTTATTTTCCAATATTTCCATTGGTACATAATTTAAGTGCTGTTATAACACATCCTTTTAATGTTCCAATTTTTAGATTTTTATTTTATGCAAAAAACCAGTTTATACAAGTTCCATCATGGGAACCTTTTGTTAAATTTTAAAATTGAATGTTTATTTTTGCTGTATGTTCACGCTAAGGAAATTTATACAATCATTTTTCTTTCTCTATTGTAAATTTTATGCCTTTATGTTGTGTCCAAAAAAACTACATCACTTTTTCTTCTCCTTTAAAGCTACACAGGATATCATCAACTTATCTAACCAAAAATGCAATGGAAACACAGCTGTTTTAATGGCCTTTATTTCTATAAGTGTTGTTAATAATGGAGATGATGGGCTTTGGACTTTCTATTCCTAAACTTCTTCTATTATTCAAATAAAAAAACAATTGTTAATCTCTCATTCCAACAGTTACTTCATATTTTCTAAATGCATATTTATATATCTGTTTTCATAATTGCATATTTTATTTAGTGCAATTTAAATGGCTTCTTTTACAGGTGTTTGAATGTACACTGATTCTATATCAAGGCTATACATAATGCTATTAGGGTTTTCTTTTTCAGTTTGTTTGTTTACTTCATAGGAGTTGTATATGGCTGCTTTCTCATTTCTTGTGTATTGTTTAAGAAATCAAGTTAAACATTTGCATAAATAATAATTGAAGTTGTTATATGTTGATAGGATTGGTGTCATTGAGAACGATTCTTTGTGTTTTTCATGCTCATTACAGTAGTGGTATTCTTCTGCCTTTATTT